AACTTAGTGTCTATTTATTCTTACTTAAAAATAGAAGAACTACAGAACTACCAATACATTGTAAAAAAGAACTCCCAATGGTGCAAAGTCTGGCACAAGAGCCTAATAATTTTCCTTGAAATACAAGTTTATAACAAGTTTGCCTTTGTCAGTGTTTCTTTTCTGGGTCATGTTATGTAGATATATTATAAAATGTAATATTTGCTAAATAGTACTGAGCTGGGAAAAATGAACATTTCAGATACTTTAATTGGCTTAGAGTCTACTGGGACTTCTTTTGAAGGTTACTTCCCTTTATGGTCCTACTACAGAGAGACGCCACTGGTATGAATCTTGTTTGTTGTTGCTGAGAGAGAGTCTTGCTCTGCCTCCCAGGGTGGAGTGCTATGGCATGATCACAGGTCACCGTAGCCTCAACCTCCCAGGCTCAAATGATCCTCTCACAGCAGCCTCTTGGGTAGTTGGGACTACAGGCATGTGCCGCCACACTCGGCATGGTATTTTTTGTAGAGACAGGGTTTTTACCATGTTCCCCAGGCTGGTCTCCAACTTCTGAGCTCAAGCAGTCCACAGGTATTGGCCTCCTGAAGTGTTGGGATATCAAGTATGAGCTACCCAGTCCAGCGTGGTATGAATGTTGTTAGCAAGTCTGGCATAATGGAAAAGCCATTTTAAAAATACATTTTCACTGGCAAAGGAATCATTGCATTCATTCATTCATTCACATATAAACTAGACATTTGGTAGGTAAAAGGCTGATTAATTTGATATCTGTGTCAAATAGAGTAATACAATTTTAAAAACTATTCGTCTCTTTTCAGATACCTAATTACATATCACTTTTGGTTAGGCATTTAATTTATCTAGATCTCAGTTTACACATTTTTTAAATGATATTTTTTGCTCTATTTTAACGATTGTGGAATTTGAATGGAAAATTCAACATAAAAGCACTTTGCAGAGCAGGATCTCTATGTGAATGAGTTTCATGTTGTAATCAGATTTCTTACTCTTTTTCTGTAATGGGGCTTCCTCAAGTTTTGGGGGAAAAATGACATCAAGCATCCTTGGGGGAGGGTAAATTGCTTCCCAGTAAATAATGGTGGATATGAAAAGTCTTCTCTCATCTATTGTCAGACTGAGGATAAACATTTTCAGTGCAGAGAGTAAGCCATTAGAATAAACATTAAAAAGATAAGGAAAAATACAGACACAAGCATGTGCGCACACGCGCACACACACACACACACACACACACACACACAGTCATAACCTAAAATGGAATGGAATGGTGTGGTGTTTTCTGGTTCAATTTTCAGGCAGAAAAATATATAAGCTAAGTTCTTCTAAATAATGTATGATCTGGAATTGGGCCAGAAGTTACTGGTATGTGGGTCCCACATATCAAATGGTGAAAACTTGTGGGATCTGGTTTTAGATTTGCCCAGGCAACTGCACTTCTGCGTACACTCCTTTCTCCCATCCTGACACATCATCCCTAGTGATTCCACCATTTTTTGGAGAACAGGAACTGAATTAAAACAATGTATTTTGGGTCCCTGCGTACATGGGTCTGGGATTTCCTTTTAATGATGCACTTTAGTCAAGCTGGAGATTTGTTTTCAGTTTAGTCCAATATATATTTTAAAATGTGTTAAAATATTAACAGGTAGTCTAGCTTTCCTGGAAGGAAATAGCTACACTGGATCCTTGTTAGGGTGTTTTTTATTGAGCCTATACCTTGAGGCAGTCTTATAATGAAACCGTTTAACTAAAGAACCTTGGCCCCTGTCTAAGTCATGCTTCTCTAAATGAATCCTCTCTGTAACAGATAGTGTTATAGTGACCCTCTGAGAATATGGTAAGGTTATTGATTTTTTAGCAGCCATGTTTTTGTATTACAAATAGTCATTCATCTTATTTTCTCAACATTGCAACAAAGACCTATATTTCACAAAGATGCATTTTAAGTTACCTTTGGCCAATAACTAAAATGCCCCAAGCCATTCCAATTAAGAAAAAAAAAGAATTTTTTTCTAGTTAAGAATAATGTCCATCATTATAAATCAAGAAGCTGATTGTATACCAAAGGCAATGAATTATAATATGTATAATACACACACTTAATTAGAATAAAAATTTTTTACCGTATTTTCTTTAATGACTTATAAAACCCCAACTTTTTCTGGTGTTCAAATAAACATTTCTATTTAAGACTGATTTTAACAATTATTTGGTTACTATGGTGATGTCAAAATTTGTAGGATTATATGTAAGTATTCAGTCTAGCCTATTGAATACACAAAAAGTAAAATCAAGATTTAAAATAAAAGCAAAATCTACATAATTATTGTTGATTTTTCTCTAAGCAAAAGGTTCAAAAAGCAGAAAGTGTTGCCAAACTGTATACTGTATCAATTTATTCATCTAAAGGAAATTGAACTTGGCTATGTTACTTTTTAAAACAAAGTACTGAAGATATTATAAACCAAGTCAAACAAAATGAAAAACTTGGTTTATCAAGTATTCTATTCCTAAGCATTCCACAAGCATGCTAAAAACAAAGGATGACAATTGTTTCTCATTTAAAGGACAGCTCAATGGTATTGAAATATTTTAAGGTAAACCTTCTGAATAGTAGAATTTAATCTTATATCAGCTAATACAAATTGCATTTTGGGCTTTAGAAACTCCACATGATTGACTGGGCACGGTGGCTCACACCTGTAATCCCAGCACTTTGGGAGGCCGAGGGAGGCGGATTGCCTGAGGTCAGTGGTTCTAGATCAGCCTGGTCAACACAGTGTAACCCCATCTCTGCTAAAAGTACAAAAATCAGCTGGGCATGGTGGAAGGTGCCTGTAATTCCAGCTACTTGGGTAGCTGAGGCAGAAGAATCAATTGAACCCAGGAGGCGGAGGTTGCAGTGATCTATTATTGGGCCATTATACTCCATCCTGGAAAACAAGAGTGAAGCTCCGTCTCAAAAAAGAAAAAAAAAAAATTCACATGATTGTTTAATGACATTTACTCTTCCTTATAGGTAATTCATTTCATTGACGGATGGCCATACAAATATAGAAATAATGTTTAACAAGTAGTGATATGGTAATGAAGAATATCACAAACTCATAATACCAATACTGAAACAACATCAATTAACCCAACTTGTATACATTATACATGAAAACAAGAGCACTGTTCTATAATAACTTATGAATAAACTATCAGTCTTCTGAAAATATAAGCTATAAAAGATTGTGTTAGGGACTATGTCCTTGGGCATACATAAATTCTTTTGTGAATAATGCCTATACTTGTCTTCATATTTTGAAAGAATATATTTCAAGTGTTCTAATATGCAGAGGAATTTTTCAGTCATCCATAGCATGTAATAGAAAAAAAACCTTTAGAGTAAAGAATTTTTCCCCATTTTGGACAAGTATATTGCATTTTTTTCATGCATATTGTCACCCCATTCCCCCAAGTTCCTCCAACTCTATAAAAATTATACAGACATTCTATTCCATTTACAAAAATATTAAACGTGTAAATCTTAAGTAGAGTTTTGCTAACAAAGTGACAAACAGCAGAGTCTATGGACAAACATGAAAGGCATTACTTGGGACCTTGTTAGAAATACACCCCAGGCCATTCAGACCATACCCCAGACCTACTGAATAATAACCTGAATTTTTAATAAAATCCCCAGGTGATTCCATTACACAATAAACTTTGAGAAGCATTGATTTAATACACTTATTTAGTTTCTATAAACTAACCATATCTAAAAAACTGGTTATAACTGGGTATTCCCTATGTACCCTTTATTTTAGCAGTATTTAAGATTTAGCATGTGACAGAATCAACAAGAAAGCTTGGGGGAAAAGGGAGATTTTCAAGTTTTTAAATTTAGTAGGTGTAGGATCAGGCCTGGTTTTCCCAAACTTTCATGAACTGTATTAAAGTTAATGATAATTGATAACAACAATTCTTGTAAACATCTCCAAATCAGCACAATACATAATAAACAAGAAAGTAACAGGCAAACTGTTTGTTAAATTTTGAAATGTTTCAAAGTTTTTCTGAAACTGTTCATGTTAGAATTAAAAATTTGCCCTTAAACAGATATGGTATCATTTACGAGATCTTATGAAATATTTTTTTCCAAGAAATATTAAAAGATAAATTCACTTACTGGAGACCTTGAAGTTGACACCTCTCCCTTTGGAATCAACTATTTCTTGTATTAGAAAATAAGACCAATATATTCTACAAAGTGCGACTTACAATTCTCTCCAGATCTCAAACACAAATGCATCCAGTAGCCACTCTGGTAATGAATGGAAGAAATAAGGAACAAGGCACTCCAGTTATAGGCATTCAAGTTCAAAATGTAAAAGCCCAATGCAGAGCAAACAAGAACACCTCTGTGGGCAGCATTCAGTCCCGTGATCTGCCATTTTCCAGTGTAAGTGTTAGCATGGTTTTTCTCCTTAACTCTCCCGTGATATGCCAAAGTGCATATTTTTGTTAGTTTGTTCATGTGGTTGGGGGCTTTTGGGGAATTGTAATTTTGATTTTACTTGCAGCAACAGAACATAGTGATACACCAGACTTGTAAACTACTTTAGGCATATGAAGCCAAATGAATTTTCAATGATTTGGAAAAATAAGCTATAGGTATTTGAGATTTGCATAGATCTGTTTTTTTTCTAACAGGTCTTGTCATTAAGCAATATGGAAGATGTTCAGTTTGCATTCTTTTGCCTGCACTATACAATTATTTCCAAGAAATGACAGTTAGAAGTTCTATGGAGTACCTGTCTTCACCTCAGTTGTTATTGCTTGTTATGTGTAGGTATATAATGGCATTTTACTTTGGTGTTTTGACCCTGCAAATTATAAGAGATTTAAGATGTACAGAAAGATTCCAAGGTTCACCTAAAGATATCTTTACATTATGATTTCTAAAATAAAAAAAAAAATAGATCTAGTCACATGTTCAGTATGTACTTTTATTTTAAACAACGGCACACACACACAATGACATAACAAGACCATTACCTTAATACTGATAACATTCCTTGACAAATTGACTTATAATTTACATATATTGTTTTCATCTGGAGCTATTTTAAATATTACTTTAAGATATACTGTAAAACACAAATCCTAAATAAATACTAGTTGCAAACATAATGTGCTTAGTTACTGTTTTCCTTGTTATTCAAATAAAGTAACTTAAAGTTCTTCAAAATCATGTCCACTTGTATTCATTGTTTCAGGATGCATGACTCGTCCCATGAATAGAATTGTACCTGTATTGGTTTGGAAGTAAACAAAAGAGGGGGTGAAAACCATAATGAAATATTTATGTTCCTTCTTCCTAACAATTAATGAAAATATGCTTCTTTCTTTCTCTTTTCCTCTTTCTTTCTTTCTGTCTTTACTTTCTTGAGAAAGGGTCTTGCTCTGACGCCCAGGCTGGAGTGCAGTGGCTGTATCAGAGCTCACTATAACCTTGAACTCTTGAGCTCAAGCATTCCTCCTACCCCCAATACCTCCAGTAGCTAGGATCACAGGCATGTGCCACCATGCCTGGCTAATTTTTTAAACTTTTTATTTATGTGGAAATGCGGTCTCACTACCCAGTCTGGGCCCAAAGTCCTGGCCTCAAGTGATCTTTCCTGCCTTGAACTCCAAGTGCTGAGATTAAAGGCTGAGCCACCTCGTCCAGCCTTATCGTCATTAAAAAAAAAAAAAAATTTCCACATTATAAATTATCTGATAATTCAATTGATCAATCTCAGGAAAAAGAATAAATAAAATTGTGAAAATAAATTACGTGATGATTACTGAGAAAAAAATCTCCACTTAAAAAAGGTTCTTTGTGGGCTATTAAAATTTTGTTTTCATAATAAGCTTACCAGTTCTCCTGTTTCTGATAAGAAAGAAAAACGGGTGGTCGACAATAACTTGAGGATACAGCACAGCCATCCTACTAATTGCAATCATTCCTACAGTGCAGGGAAAAAGTAATTATATGTGGATGTGCAGAGACTGATGAGTAATTCCTCAAAACTAGCTGTGTCTATCCACCTAACTCAAAGACAATTTACAGGAAACAAGATTTTAAATACTTAACTGGAGAAAAATTATATAGGTGTTAACATTTCTACTTGATCTTCTAAAAAAACAAAACAGAACAAAAAACACACCGCAAACAAAACAGTCTCTTCCCTCTACTCCACTAAAAATAATAGTACAATTAATTCCGCTTGTTATGCAATTTTTATTCTCAGCCTCACATAAATATTCGTGTCTTTACTAAAATGACTTTTGAGTAAAAGGAAAGCGAAGAATAAAGAAAAATCCCCAAACAAAACCTGAAGACTGTTTCTTTATATTTTCAAATCATTATTTCTTTTGTTTGAAGTGGGTATTTTTACATAGCAAGTCACCAGGTTCCAGTAAGTGGTCAGGATGGCAGTGATAAATGGGAAAATATTACAGTGAGAGATGCAATGGGGTAACACACGGCTGGGCTACTAAATTCCCCTGAGATCCTCATTACAAGATGATTGTTATATACTTGCTGCAGTGTGGTTAATTGTCAAAAGAAAGTCCAGATTACATTAAGATTTCAAGCTATCTTGATGCCTGAGACTACCGTGCTCTTACTTCCTTCTGAAAATACTATCCTAACAGTGACAGTGATAGAGGGGGGGCATGCTGGCACAGTTAATGTGTACAAAAATATAGTTAAATAGAATGAAGATCTAGCATTTGATGGCACATCAAAGTGATTACAAATCAGCAATACTTTGTTGTACATTTAAAAATAAGTAGAAAAGTATAATTGAAATGTTTATAATAAAAAGAAGTGATAAATGAGGTGATGAATACCCCATTTACCCTGATGTGATTATTATGCGTTATATGCCTGTATCAAAAATATTCCATTTTCTCCATACGTATTATACACTTACTACGTAACTATGAAAATAAAATAACAAATAAAAACTTTTTGCTGAAAAATTAGGAGTCAACTTCAGCAAGTAATTTGGTATGAGGAAAAATGTCTAAATGGATAGCAGAAAAATATTTAAAATATTTAAACAGGCAGCACAGCAGAAAAATCTATATTCACAGAGCTGCCAATGTCCTCCTGTCTCTCACTAGAGAGAAAATGAAGATGAGCGTTATCGGTAAAGAGGCACTGAAGTGAATTCACACTTCACGTTCTATTTAGAAAATTCCGGCTGGTTCAGCATTTGCTTGACTTCTAAGTTAGAGCAGAGTGAATTTCTTGGCTTGATTTTGAAAATGACCCCACTCCCCACCCAAGATTGCTCTAAAAATACAAATCGAGAAGAGGGAAGAAGATTTTAGCAAACAGTACCTGAGACAGCAGCAGCTTCTGAGCCTTCTTCATTAACCTCTAAGAAGGACTTGTGAATTGCTTTGGAAAGGAAAATCTCCTTGTTATCTACAAAAAGAGAATCAGAAATGTTTTTAAATCAGAGATAGGAAAATAATATTGAAAATGAAGAGATTTGCCATTAGCTAGACTATTTTATAGAAATGTATAAATTATAAAATTGAGTCAAGGAAAAAAAATAGAATATTTGAATAATCCAGTAACCACTGAAGTAACTGAATCAGTATACAAAAACTGTCTTTGCCCTCAAAATTAAAGACTCCAAGCCTAAATGGTTTTCCAGGTGATTTAAGCCAGATCTTCAAGGAACAGATAGGATTGCCTGTTGTAAAATTGTTCTAGGCACCAGGAAGAAAATAAAAGCTATCTAATCTGTGGGTTTTCTTACTTTACTGTAAAAATGGAAAAAAAAAAAGCAATATAAGAAAGAAAATCATAGATCAAGCTCACCTATTAGCATGAAGATAAAGTTCTTTAAAAATCAGAAAATTAAACTCAGCAACATAGGCAAATCATCTTTTTGAATGAGTTTCAATGGATGTTACAGTGCGTCATGACTCAGCAGTACAGAACTGCTCTCCCGACTGACTGCCTCCGGTTCATATTAATGCTTCCTCCAGGATGATCTTATCAAAATACCGATCAAATTATGCCACTAATCTACTTAAAACACTTTATCCCCTCTCCTGCTTGCTCTCCCTCTCACCTCACCTTCAGTGTATTACAACCTGCATACCTGCTCAGTATAAGCTATAAGGACCTCCATAAGGCTGCCTTTGCTTCCTCCAGTTAGCATTCTTTGCTCCATATGCTATGCTTCAAAGTATTTGAACTGAAACAGCCTCAATATAGCACACTTTGTCATTTCTGTATCTTTGTTTCTCTAGATCCTCCCTCAACTTTTGTTGTACAGTAAGACACCTCATCTAGTTTAAAAGCTTAGCCTCTAGCTCTGCAAGGGTTTTTTCTGCTCCTCTAATTCCTAAATCACTAAAGTAGATCTGACCACTCTTTCCTACTGAAACCAGAAACTAATTCTATTGAAGCCTTTCTAATATATCATATTTGCACTGATGCTTCCCTTCCTTAAGGCAAGGTTTGTGTCATTTTTCTTAGTAACCTTGTCTTCTGGCATATAGTTGGATCTAAAGAATGGACTAACCCTAGTGGAGGGAGTTTCCTGGAAATGTTCAATTTTCTAGTCGTTAACCCAGTATACTGTCATGGACAGGATTTCAGTAACTATTGAATGAAAGTGGTTAACTATTTCATATTATAAGACTTTGGGTATGCAAAGTCCTTTAGTGTCATTTGATGTATGTATACTAAGATCACAACTCTGTTCACAATTATGGCTATAAAGTTTATTCTTGTAATAGACTGGGCATAGTGGTTCATGTCTGTAGTTCCGGCACTAAGGGAGGCCAAGGCAGGCCAATCGCTTGAGCCCAGGAGTTGGACACCAGCTTGCGCAACATGGCAAAATCCCATATATATACAACTTTTGTATACAAAAAAATGTAAAAATTAGCTGGGCGTGGTAGTCTCAGCCACTTAGGAGGCTGAGGTGGGAGAATCATCTGAGTCTGAGAAGGTTGAGGTTGCAGTGAGCCAAGGTCGCACCACTGCACTCCAGCCTGGGCACGCACAGTGAGACTCTGTCTCAAGAAAATTTTTTTAAAAAGTTTATTCTTATAATAAATAAAACATATGACAATAATCTAAAGTGGATGTTCCAAGAAAATGGTGAACAGCAACAGAGAGGGAAAAAGTACAAAGGCCATATACATGCTAAAAGACTTAAAAATCTGATTGAGTGAACGATTTTAAGGAGAATAGGATGCAGCAGACCAGTGCTACTGCATTTATTTCAAAGACAGCAAAACAAAGATTGAATGCAGCATGTGGATTCCCATATCATGATTAACTGCTACATGAGGGATAGCAAATGCCAGCACATGTAAATGAGACCTCAGAAAAATCAACCTTTAGTAAAACACCATCCCATTGGATACATAAGTAGAAGAAAATGTGACAATAAGAAGGCCAGGTGTGGTGGCTCACACCTGTAATCCCAGCATTTTGGGAGGCTGAGGGGGGGTGGATCACAAGGTCATGAGTTTGAGACCAGCCTGGTCCACATGGTGAAACTCCATCTCTACTAAAAGTATAAGAATTAGCCCAGTGTGGTGGCATGCACCTATAATAGCAGCTACTCAGGAGGCTGAGGCAGGAGAATTGCTTGAACCTGGGAGGCGGAGGTTGCAGTGAGCCAAGATTGTGCCATTGCACTCCAGCATGGGTGACAGAGTGAGACTCCATCTCGCAAAAAAAGAAAAAAAGAAATCACATCACAGATACTAAGGGGAAAAAAAAGAAAATGAAGCCTTTTTTCTTGAGACAAACTTCAAGCAGTTGAGACTTATTAAATAAAATATAAGCAGAGAGTGGTCTAAGCAAACATGTGTGCAGCCACAAAACCTTAGAAGTAGATCAGGTCATGCAGAGATACAGGCAGTGTCATGGCCCCTTAGCTTGCCCTCCAATATCACTCATCCCATGCAGTAGACAATCAAGACCATCTTTCCCACTAGGCCATACACTCTTCAAGGCCTGGATTTTGCCCATTCTACTTATCTCATTCACGACACCTTACACACTTGTGAGGTACCAGGTATGCACTCAGATATTTGATAAATTGAATCAGAATGCAAAGGGGTATTAAGGAGATTTACACTGATGAACTTGCCTTGTTGGTTAGAGAAAGTTAGCTATTCTCTCAATCAATCAAGCAAAGGCAAATAGTTTTGTTTTTTGTTTTTAAATCTGCACACTGGCACCAAGCAGCCTTCTCCTTCTGGCCACAGCAGACATTGCTGCCAAATGACTGGTTCTACTTTCCTCCAGGCAGCATGAGGCCAGGATTTTTACAATGGATGAGGTGGGAACAGGGCCAGTAAACCCTAGGTTCCCCTAGAGAAAAACTGGGCAATAATTCAAACTCTTCTGAAAAAAGCGGGGCAAGACTAAAAAGCCATTCATTCAGTCACTTAGTAAATATTTATTCAGTACCCTCTACGTATGAGGTATTGTGCAAGGCACAAAAGGCTCTAAGTGTCTGACATTAACATCATGCTTGTAGGATGGTCATCATACAAGTGTAGGCCACTACTTCCTCTGTGGCACTGTTCCTAAACTCAGCCAATTTAAATAGATTTCTGCGTCATCAAGGGCATGCTTAAAATAACAAAATGACGAGAGTATCATAACAGAAACCTAGCATACCAAAAGTGTCTCTGTGCTTTAGTTGCCAAAATATTTTTAGCTTCAGCCCCACCCATGAAATTTATAAAACTTCCTAGAATTTGAGTTCTCTTAAGATAGGAATAACGTTTCTTTGTTTGCTTTTCTGGATGGATTTTGTTACAGAACCAACAAATATTCAGTTATTGGTCATTCATTCATTCATGTGCTGAGCACCTACTACGAGCCAGACACTTGATGTACTAGATGTGTTATGAGGAACTAAACTGTTCCTTCCTAATGAGAGGAAAACAAACATTATATAAAAGAACAATAAAGCAAATCAATAAATGACTACAATTTCAGAGTATAGTACGTATAACTAAGCTAACAAGATAAGGTGATATGTTGGTCAGTGACTGGGGCAGCAAAGAGGAGCTACTTGACACCAGTTATTCAGAAAGGTGGATCTGAGAGGGCAAATCTTAGCTGAGACTGAAGGAATACAAAGGAGCCAGCCACTGGAGGAAATAAAGGGAGAGTATTTCAGATGGAGGAGGGAAAAGCCAGTGCAGAGGCAGATACAAACTCCACATCTTTAAGGACCCAGAGGAGGGCTGTGTGGCTGCCGTGTAGAGTTGGGAGAGCAGGAAGTTTGAGAGAACCCTCACCCCCATGCTTGTAGCCAGGTGGGGTACAGTGACATTTACTCACAGCAATAACCCACTCAGTATCTACCCTGTCCCCCACCCCCAAATTCTCTTCTGTTTTCTGGGGACAGAAAGATGTCTATGCTTTTGAATAGCTTTGATCTCAGGGACAAGCATGTAAACCAACAGTCTAGGAGAAAATGAAACATGTGCTAACACAGGTGTGTGGAAAGTGCTACCAGATTCCAGATAAGGAAAAGTTAACGATTTAGGAAGGAAGAAAATGTCAGGGCAAGCTTCTCTGAGGTGGCGACGTTTCAGCTCGCTCCTGAACAATTAGTATGAGTGAAAAGTCAGAGAAGTCAAGAAGGACATTCCAAGCAGAGGATTCTATTTGTAAAGTGAGAGACGCTTTACATCCCCAGTGGGGATGTCTTGAAGGGCCAGTTGGAGCTTGAGCTATGAGGAGGTTGGGGAATAGGAGAGGACATAATTTCAAGAGCTTTGATGATGATGGCAGAGAGCCTGGACTTTATCCAGAAGTAATGGGACACAGTGCTTTGATTTCAGAAGATAGCTGTGGCAGCTGCTGTGAAGGGTGAATCAGAAAAGCAAACAGCTGGGGCAGGAAGATGAAGTTTGTTAGCTTTTGCAATAATCCAGGCAAGAAAGGAGAAGAATTGGAATTATGGCTATGACTGAGAAATAGAGCCTTGTGGTTTACAGGTGCAAGGAGAAAGAGAACGAACAAGGTTGAGGGTAAAAATAGGTCCAGCATAAATCAACAGCACTTGAGTCTAACCTGAATATGACTTTTGGTGTGTCTTCTTAATTCCTTTATTTTATTGGCTCCTTCATTAAAGCTTGTACTTGATGCTGAAGGGTTTAGCACTCTCTTTCTCCTTCCCCTTACACCTTCCAAGAAGATTATCTATTAATCCAAATGCTGACACTCATTCATTTCCATTACAAAAATAGTTCTTCTCTATAACAGGATCCTCACTGCAAGTAGATGAGCATTTTAAATAGAGCCTGAGAAGAAAATGATTCTCAGCAGTTTCTATATTCCATGTTTATTGTATGAGCCTTCACTGTGCTTTATCTTAATGGAATTTACCAACTAAAGCAATGGACATCAAATTGAGATAAAAAATA